AGTAAAAGGACGCCCATTGATATCAGCGAGCCCGTAGTGTGATATGTATACTGGTCAGCGGTTTTTTGGTGCAACAGCTGCCACTTTAACATCTCAAGGTGGATGTCCGCCATAACAACAATGCACTGAAGGAGTTAAACGATTGCATTAGAGGCTTATTACATTTAGGACTAAATGTTATTACATTTAGGACTTTATTACATTTAGGACCAAATGTTATTACATTTAGGACAGTTATTACATTTAGGCCTTCAACAGCATGTTCTCCTGAGAGATTAAAAAGACTCCATTTCGTGCGTTTTGAAGGGTGTGCACTGTTTCGGCGCAAAACCATCATGTTTCGCAACAAAAAACAATTTGGGTGCGGTACTTGTGAGCGCCTTTCTTCTAACTCTTGTGATCAAGATGTTGTTATGTAAAAATCTTTAAAGGTGATTTTCTCTTAAGATACCCTTTGAGGTATAAACAATACTCTGAGCTAAGGTTATTTGTAATTTTTATATTATCGATCTCGTTTCTGTTCTGGCCGATCTCAACCATAAAGGTATGAAAATTTAGGTAAAAATTGATTTTGTAACTGCGTAAACAACTCGAAGGTGCATACTCAGTATGTTGGAACTGTAATACGTAGTCAAGCGAGATTCGCTAGTTGAGATGGTACGATGACGACACAAGAAGATTAACGGCTTAGAAATGTCATCCGCAGTGTCACCTTTATAAGCGGAGACTCTAGTTTTCCTTGATACATAGAAGGTAGTCCCCGTTGTAACCATTTGTGAAGAAATAGAATAAAAAAGAATTAACCTATCAAACGACGAGTGTTAGAAAATTTACTTTTAACAATTGTAAACACCCATCTTGCTCCAACTGAAGTTGGTGGTAAAGGCATCAGCATTCTTAAAGTATTTCCAGAGGTAAAAAAAGAGGAAACGGCATGCGAAAGAGTCTGTCGCTGGATATGGCAGCGCCTGGTTTCTGGTGGTGTAAACAATTATATGTTGTAGTCGCTCTCTATAATGAGCGAAAATGAAAGGTACCAGTCCTATTTCTTATGATTATTACAATATTATCCTTTTCAGCTATTACTCTGACGAAAGTGTAACAGAGGAAATGGATGAATATCACGTCATGTCCAAGTAACTTTACTTTCGAACACGGTATCCCCTAAACCTGAGAAAGCATCAACAAATTTACTATCCATATATTTGAAATTAACTTTGAACAGGTTGTCCAATAGATGATATTGCGGGGTCTCTTTTTCAAAGTATTTTTCTTCATTTCATTGTTTCGCCATCTTCGACTATAATTAGAGAGAAATGGTATGCTATCTTATCATTTAGGCACAGTTGTAAGAATAGCTTGCTTAATTACCACCAACTTAAAGCCGAGATGCAGGTATTAATATACTGAGCGAGCATTATAGTGAATACAGTTTGACTGAATGCACTGTTTGTCTTTTCCTTAAAGCGTCACTTATAAAACCGGTGGTCGATTTTCGTCGTTTAAGATTAGCACTTTCCTGTACAAACCATTAAGTTAAATATTTTTCCCTGATGCAACTGTAGTCATATATGTCTGAACGAAAAGCTTATTTGGTTTTACATTTCAACGAATGCAGTTACACTAAAACGCCAGCTACCCTACTACGGTAAAATTATGCATTTTTTACGGAAGTTACTGACTGTTTATTGCGGGGTTTGTTGGAATTTGAAATGCGTGATAATTAAACTGCATAAATGCAATGTTGCCTTATTTGATATTGTGAAATTCACAGGTGATTGCTCACCGATTGACAACAGCGGTGCCGAAGAAAGTGTAGGGAGGGCAGAGCTATCTGTTCCAATGATTGTGCTCAGCAGTAGTGATGGCTCCGACGTATTCTAAACCACATAAAGCTATATACATATTGGCAAAGGCCAGGTAGAAAACGAGTCTGTGAAAAGTTCTTTGAGCATCAGTTTGGTGTCCATGAGGAGAGATGAGCCCGTGGATGGACTGAATATAACAGGTTCCACAGACACTATTTACAAAAAACTTGAGCACTTTATAGAGTCTCAACCACGCAGAGCCAAAATAAATGCATTCTCCAAGACCAAAGTTAACCTAAGTGCAGCCCGCGAGCTGGAAGAGGAAAAAGAAAATGATAGCGGAATCCCTTCAAGTTCCAAACGACCCTCGAAAAGGTCCACGTAAGTGCCAAAAAACTAAACGAGATTTTTGTTTTTCGGTTATTAACCCTTGTATTCTCCATTGTCTTAAGAAAACAGGAATAGTAAGTTTTCTCTTTTCCGAATAGCATTTACACGCTACATAAGAAGAGAATTGTTACATGCTAATGATAGAGGACCCTCTGAATGAATTTATTTGTTTCTTTCATTTGGAAACGAATAGGTCAACTGACGTCGAAATGGAATCGCTGTTACACCAGAAAAAAAAGACGGCCACGGCCTTACGTATCTTCTTCGAACAGCCTTGACGTGGCCGAAGAAGATGAGCCCGAAGTTGGCTCCGACAATGATAACTACGATCCCTGCAGCAATGAAGACGACTGAAAAAGCTCAAGAAGGTAAAGAAAGATCAGAGAGGAGAACGGAAACAAAACAAACAAACAAAAAGGAAAAGGAAAGGCAGGAGACCACAGTTTAAGAGCCATTTTCCGAGAAAATCGAAAATCGCATGACACTTGTGAAGAGAACGAATTTTTTTTCCTTTCGCCAAAACATCCCTTTCAGTAACCTTATTGAAGAAAAAATAATTTTTGGTTCAAGCGATTCATTGTACGGGAGAAATTACAAAAAGTTTGAAAAATCGATTTTTACTGGTTTTTCGTACTCAAAACAACAGAATCCGACCGCAACTTCGAGAAAACGGTGAACGCATAAGAAACAATCCCTAACATCGAAACTTCAGCCGAGTATTATTTCGTACTTACTCTTTAATTTCCTGAAAGAAATTTGAAGAAAGAAGTTTTTAACATTTACAATCGACAAGTTTAAAAAGGTCAAATTTGTATGTCTGGAAATGTTAATAAATGAAGGCGAACTTTAACTGTTGTAAAAGGCCACTGGTATATGCCGCTTCCTAGTAAAACCCATATAGAATAAAACCTTGGCTATTGAACTAAATTACTGGAAAGTTTTAGCTCTGGAAATCCAATACAATCCTCACACTAAAGTAAGCAATTTGAGTATCTGAGTAAATAAAATTTATGCAAATTAGACGGCCCGCTGAATGAATTCACATTTTTAACGCAAAGTTTTGTTGAACGAACAACTCACCATTGCTTGTTGTGATAGAAGTTAAATCCATCTCTCAATCTGTTTGTCCTGTGAAGTGGCAACTCATCCATACCTGATTTTGACCAAAATGTGTCCAGCAACTTCAGCGCTTGAGCTATGTAAACACTTCCCAAGCAGCGCTTATTACGCATCATCAGACGCTTTAATAATAATGAAACCCGATTATGTTTTGGTCCGAAAATAACATACAATGATGAAAATTAACCACTGCTCAAACCGCACAGTTAACAAGGTGAGTATTACTCTTATTGAGCGAACAAATCAGATACTAGACGTGATAACAAGATCATATGAAGCATAATTTAGCAAACGTGAAGAGATTGGTCACGCTAGCTTGTCGCATACGACGGTACGTGCTATACTTCGTACTCAATGTAAACAGACAAAGAAGCAATTACAGCTGTCCCAATGAAAAAATGTACAGCCGTACGTCTGTTTATATTTCATCAGTGTAGGATTAATAAAACATTTCCAGGTCAAATGTTCCTGGAATAAAATTTATATATTGTCACGAACTGTTTCGCCACTTGCTATTGCACGCGCCTCTACAATTTTATTTTTAATTGAATTATTCCCGTCTAGTATTACGAAATGCTGAAACAGCGTTAGAGGAGTTTGTCTCGTTTGTTGGGAGAGCTTTGTTTTTTTTCATGGCTTCGGCAACGTTTCACTCATGTAGTTTTTCTGGTTTATTACACGACGCCACACCCTGTGGTTTAAGCAGCGATTATCCAGACCAAGTTGAAGTTCTCGCTTTAAGAAATTGTGCAAGGGACATTTCGAGGCACTGCGAGCTGTATGGATTAAAAGCAGATACAGCACTTGACACTGAATGGAAACTGCTGTTAGCAAGAGCAGGTAAATCTTATATACTGTCTTACCGTCTTATGTAACGGCTAATAGTGGTGTACATTTCCATCATCTCTTTATCGTAGACCTCACGATGGTCATGTTATTCTAAGAAAATCTTCGCGTGCTTTCCATTTATCTTTGTTTAGGGGTATTTGCAGTGGAAGAGTCCCACTTGTCATTGACAATATGCCCCCGCCACAGAGCGGAATTTGGTATGCGCTGGAGATCCTCAAAAGTGAAGTGTACTATTCCACTAGAAATAGCTGCTCACAAAACAGCCTCGGTCAAAGGCGAAGTGACAAAATAAACAGAAATATTGAAGTAACATTGATGTCTAAACGTCTTTTTTGTATGTTACAGAACAGCTCAAACTCATCTCCAGGACAAAGTGATACCGGTCAATCTGTTGAAGAGTTCGCAGAAAGCCTTGGACGTCTTACAATCTGTGATGACACCTTTCTGTCACCAGACACAATAAGCACAGCTTCCACTCTGAGTGACGAGCCCACACCTGTGATCTTACATGAGCCGCGCGTTAAGCTGAGTGAGTTCCTGGCAGCATGCTAACTTGAACCGCTTGGAAAGCCATGGCTTTCTTGGAGTGATTCCTCTGAGCGAACAAGACAACGTCAGACAAGGAGAGCCACAGAAATAGTAGCAACTGTGCTAAAGAGCGTCACCCCTGATAATGCTGGTGAACTCTGGCGACGTTTAGCCTCTTCTACGGCTGTGAACAAGGGCCTAGGCGTAAGCGAGTTGTCACATTCAGAGCATTTGTATTTAGAGGCCCTTGCAGAAGCGTACCAGAATGCAACCAGCAGGGATACCCGTAGACAAGTGCTTTCGATTATGGCAGAGGTTGGAACTTTCAACGACATTTCCCGTTATATCCCGGGGTTGACGAGATACCGATACTCCATGGCTAATCCTCATCGATCACAGTTTGGCCGAGGCGCTCAAGCTCAGTTGTGCAAGCTCTTATGACAAGACAAGGAGAAGGGGGACTATAAGGTAATGTGAATTCTGACTCCAGAAAGACAGCTTGAATAAAACTAAAAGTAAGTACTTATTTTATCTCGTCAACAAAATCATTCCGTAAAAAAAAATATATTTTGTACTCTTTTTCTTCTCTAAATGGTGCACTTGTAACTAGCTTACATAAATTCTCGAGATTAACAATGCGCGCACGAGGATAGTCGAGGATAGTCTAAGGTTAAGGTTAAGGTTAAAAGTTATTCGCCCCCTTACGTTAATAATATATGTTAGATTAAAAAATCATTTGATTAACTATTATATTGAAGTATAAGCACAGACAAACAGTAATCTAAGTTTTGTTTTATCAACAGGTTCATGTCACTAGCCCCTCTAACGTAGCAGACCATTGTGTGTTGTTTGCTCTTAGCGACAGTAGTGATGCAGATTACCAGCAACAATGCAGTCACCAACACACTGATCTTTGTGACCGTTGTCAAAGTCTTCAAAAACTCTGGCAAAGATTGAACGAGTCCTTGGCGAGACGACTTTTCCGACTCAGGACGCGAAAGACGAAGCGCCAATTATATTCCAGACTGCCCAGCTGGCCACAATGTCCTGGAAATGCCACATCCTTAGATCAGCTAACCAAGACCAAGCGAGAATAGATGCACTGGAGAAACTTGACGACAACACTGTCTTGATAATTAACGACTGGGCCATGAAGTTCCTGCCACAAAAATACAGAGAGTCCCAAACCGACTGGTTTGGTAAGCGAGGTATCTCCTAGCACGTTTCTGTCGTCTACCATCGTGTGAGCGGGTTACTCCAGTGACAGGGCTTTCTGCACATAGTCCAGTCGTGCAATTAAGGCAGTGCTGCTGTGGTTAAAATCATGCAGGATGTCCTGAATACCATCAAGCTGGAGCACAGTGAGATTAACAAGGCGTTCTTTCGCCAAGATAACGCAGGATGTTATCATTCGTCATGCAAAGTGTTGAAGAGGAAGCAGTAGTAGATGACAACAGAAAGATTATTGGTATCAACAAATTAAACAATTTCGAGTTTAAAGACGAAATTCTCGTGGCTTGGCGCGCTTTTGGTATGGGAAAGGGAAAAGAGATCCCATTGGAAACAACATCAGAAGGTTAGTCTAATGAAAATTAACAATTTCATCCTTTTTTAGAATTATTTCATCGCGCACATATATATATTTTTTATAGTTTGAGTAAAAAGGTGTACGTTTATCGTTTGTTATAGCCTTCAGACGCATGAAAGGCATCCATTTCCCATCCTGGTACGCAGGAGGAGCGGGTGTCTGCCACCCCGTGGGGTTTTGCTTTGTGAAAGACTTAAGCCCCTTAGCCCCTTTATAAATTTATAGCCCTTGATTTGTTCTACAAAATGTTTAAAACGAACATTGCAGAATATGGCGGTTCTGAAGAACATGTCGTCATAAGATGTAAAAAGCAAACGTTTCATCTGTTCGCGCAGTAAAGTGGACCAAAGGGGCACTCTTCACAGGCTGTGCAGAGTGAAGAATTGAAGTAGGTGAACAGTGCTGTTTATGTAAATCTTGTTTCTTTATGTGTTATCTACTTCAGAGCATGGAATTGGTTGGCTTTCATCTGAGTTTTCTTCTGGAGACTTTAAACCCCTTAGCCCATAACCGACTCAGTCAAGGAAGAAGCAAGAGACGGAAGTGGAGCAGGATCATGATCCCACTGACAATACAAATGAATCGTCATCCGTGTTTACCTGCCTCAGGATGGGTGTGTTAAGGTCTTTCAAAGGCTGTCATCTTTCGAAAAACACCTATCTTTAGAGAAATGCACCAAGTCTCTAGAAACAGTCTTTGTTAGACCTTGCCAAACTAGATTACAAGTCCAGGTTGAAGGAGGGCACGACCAGTCAAGTTATTTCGTTTGCGTCTTTTAGGGATACAAGAGAGGCTACATCCGGCGAATTAGAGGTAAAAGAAGGATGGGCGCTAAAGCCGAGCAAAAAAGTATATCGCTTTAACCAAAACCAGAGGGATCATCTAAATGCGAAGTTTACAATTGGTCAAACCAGCGGCAGAAAACTGGACGGTGATATCGTATCACGTGAAATGAGACGTGCACAAGTACCTGATAGAGTTCGTTTGTTCAAAGTATCCGAGTTTCTTACCCCGCAGCAGTGTACTTCATATTTCTCACGTCTTGCAGCGAAGGTCCGACGGCAAACATCCGACGATGCTGAAATCCAAGCTGTAGTAGAAGAGGAAAACTTTACCATGGCAAGAGAAACAATCCTATCCATCACGCTACAGCATCCCATCACTTACGATCAGTACGATATCTGTGCCTTGGGCAAAATATGTAGAAACAGAAAGTACTATCCTGCTCACAGACGTTTTTCTGTTTTGGGAATTTGATGCGCGCAAAAGATAAGCTATTGCTCGTGAGAGAGGGCGGAACGCGCTTTTTTTTTATACGTGCACTCGACGATATCTAAAAATGAAGAGAGTCTGTGAACAGGCAAGTAAAGTACACAAATTGTAGAGTTTTGCCTAAACGGTGTTCTTACTTCTCTTCAGAGGCTTGCTTCCTGGAGTGAATCATTCACCATTTGTTCTCGCCAGAATAACTAAGTCAAGAAAAAATCTATTTTGTTCATTGTTTTGCTTCCTTTACTTATTTTTGAAGTTTGTTTATGTTTAAAAGAGCGTTCCTTTTCGGAAAGTGAGATCATTTCTTGTTTGTCAGGGTGAGTCCTTGTTACAAATCAGTTACCTTTCAGCTCGTGACTATTTACACGTTATAAACGTCTCTTCCCGCTCTAACGAATCAATGACACCTTATCTTATAAATGTGAAGAGGTATTTTAGCCTGCATAACAGCCGCTTTATGAGCCAAGCGAGGCGAACGCGGCATTTGCTCGAAGCACGAAACGAGTGCGAAGCGCGAGACGAGGGATGGAGAAAAATAAAGCAGTTTATTTTCTCCTCCCCTCGTCGCTTCTCGCGCTTCGCGCAAAATGCCACTTTCGCCTCGCTTGGTTCATAAAGCGCATGTTATGCAGGCTGGAGGTATTTCTGCAAGTTCTTTGAGTCAACCAAAGATAACTTTGTTTATCTTCGCTAAACAACATTTCTAGAGGTCTCTAGAGAAAGCGTTACGCGCGAGAATGTGGAATTTTATAACACTCCACATCGCGTATTCAGCCCGTGCGGAGTGGTTCTCTTTTTCTCGCGCTCGCGGCGTGAATTGGTCATAGTTAACTCAAAGATTATTATTAGTCTCAATAGGCTTTTCAACAATTTTGAAGAGGTCTGGAAGGCTTTAAGGATGCGATAAGCACACGCAAGTTTGAAGTTGTGTTGTGGACAAGCCCTTAATGAAACTGAGAATTTCTAGTTACCTGGCTGGGGTTTCCTGGTTTCGGAGGAAAAATCATAAAAAAAATCCAAAACAAAACTAAAGCAAGCTATAAATTTGACTTTTATGCTTTTTTTGTTTTTGCTTTAGGGATTGTTGCAAGGTGGGAAATTCGGGAATAACGAACTTATTAAGGAAACATTTGTGTTTGAAATATTTTGGGAAATATTATACCACTCTGAATCAAAAACTGTGATGAATGTCTTTCACAGCCAGTCAGCATATGCATGTGTCCAGACCAATACAAATATATAAATCAAATAAAGCAAGAAAGTCTGTTCTGTGGAGAGTTTATATATTTTTTTTTACCAAAACAAAGGCCGAAAACAGAAGCTATTGAGTATTTCGTGACGGTTTGCTAACGTGACCTTCGGATGTAACTGATTTCCGGGTCAGCAGAGGTCATAAGACCTTGTGATGGCTTGAAATCGTAACTAAACGAATTCAGAATCGAAGTCAACGGTTTCGAATGCATTTTAATTCTGCTTTTTCCCCCTGAAGAAAACTATTTTAAAATTGTGGTAACGGAGTTTCGTCAAGCGATGAAAGTTTCAGTTCGAAGTTGCGATCGCAATGATTTCGCTGGTAGCAAAGTGGCTAAACAAACGTTTTTCAGTCGTCATATAAAAAGTTCTTTACGGCTCTTACCAACACGGCTGAAAGCTAGAAATAACATTTTCACTGTAAAAACATATTACAAGCAACAGTAAGTAGTCCTTTTACACTAAACTTTGCGTTTAGTATGAATTCATTCAGCGGGCCGTCTAATTTGCATAAATGTTATTAACTTAAATTCTCAAATTGCTTACTCCAGTGTTAGGGCTATATTTAATTTCCAGAGCTAAAACGTTCCCGTAATTTACTTCAATAGCTAAGGCTTTTATTCTATATGGGTTTTACTAGGAAGTGGCATATACCAGAGGGCTTTTACAACAGTTAAAGTTCGCTTTCATTTTCTAACATTTCAAGAGACACAAATATGACCTTTTTAAACTTGTCGATTGTAAATGTTAAAAACTTCTTTCTTCAAATTTTTCTTTCAGGATTTTAAAGATTAAGAACGAAATAATACTCGGCTGAAGTTTCGATGTTAGGGATCATTTCTTATGCATTCACCGTTTTCTCGAAGTTGCGGTCGGATTCTGTTGTTTTTAAGCGCGAAAAGACAGCAATAAATTGATTTTTCAAACTTTTTGTTATTTCTCCCGTACAATGAATCGCTTGAACCCAAAACTATTTTTTCTTGAATTAGGTCACTAAAAGGGATATTTTGGCAAAAGAAAAAAAAATTCAATTTTTTTACGAGTGTCTTGCGATTTTCGATTTTCTCGGAAAATGGCTCTTAAATGATGAATTTTTAGAAGTTGGAAAAAAGTTTCTAGAGACCACAAGTTTAGTTTTCTCTGAACTGCCCAGAGCCTTTGTGGTTGATTCAATCGATCAGAATTGTGGTCTTAAAAGAAACAGACGGTTTTGAAGCACTTTACGTGTTTAGCTTTAGGAAGAAGTTTTTTGTAAATGCTTATAATAGGTAGACGTTCATACAAGGTATTTTGAAATATAGTTTCGTAGGAAGCATTATATATTTCCCCATAATGATGGAGAAAATGGCTGCAAATAATATCAAGAGTTTTTGCTTATAATCTGTGTTACGTTTGTCTTTTTAGGCCTCAAGATCAATGGGCAACTTGTTTTTAAGTTTCTTAGAAGGGTCTTTCAACAAAAGAAGTTCTAGACATCTGCATCGCAGGTAATTTTGACGCTAAGAAAGTCTGCCGCAAGGTGCCACACGGAGTTACCGAGTCGGCCATTTTTTCCGTCGATCTAAACATCGTTAATGAAGTAGATTTGACGACAGATCGTAACGGAGTATACGCGTGTCACTCTTGTCCCACCTAAATTGTTAGGGTAGAGTTCTTCAGTGAATCTCGAATAGAAAGCGTCAGTAAACGTAAAGAAGGAAAAAAATCCTGAAGGAAGCCACATTTTTCTGTCAAGCGTCATTACAGCTGGCATGCCTCTTCAGAGGAGTTTTGCCGTATTATAACTAAGGTACATGACCACCGCAGAGAGGAGCTTGGACGATATGCTGTTATACAATATAAAGTAACAGAGGAAGCAGAAAAGCTATTTTCTAGAAAGGCCCATGGAAACGTGAAACATCACAAAGAGGCTTTTTTTCGAACAAAACCAAGCGTCCTTACGATGATAAAACAGTATGCCGAAGAGAATCCTGCAAAGCACGTAATTACGAAAGTACAGCAAAATTCAGGTGGTGTTTCTGATGTAACATCTGTGTCAACATCTCACGCAACAGAAAACAAGTATACAACCAGGCCTGCAAAATAGAAAATCGTATTCGTTCTAGAAGTACAGGGCCACAAAAAGCAGCCGATTTTACCAAATTAGTTACTCAACTGCAAACTTCTGACTTTGTAAAAGATGTTTCACGGAAAAGATACCTCCCCAAATACATTCGCAGCAAAAGATTTGTATATCGAATGGTTAAAAGTTTTTTGTTCAGGAATCAGTATCAAGTCTCAATGTGGTATCGATATGACTTACAACTGTGGACCTTTCTATTTGACAACTTTAACATTCCCACATCCAATGTTTGCGTATAGAGATGCACGCGATAAACACCCAACTACTTTGGCAGGCATCATGAAAAGCACTAGTAGGGAAATGGAGGATTACGAGTACCTAGCAGCAAACTTAAATAGGAAGGGCATCTGTAATCTAACCTATGGAACTGATGGAGAAACTCCTTTGGAAACAGGCTTTGAGAAGGTATTTCCAATTCATGGAACTTCTTCAAGTGACATCAATATCCATCTCCGATGTTTTGACCATGTCAAAACAAACATATTAAAGACGTTAACAGAATTGAAGGTACCGTCACCAAAGCAAACGGAAATAGCTCGCGAGCTTCTAGGCTCTGAGCATGATGGGAGAAGGATTATAGGTCTTGTAGATTGTACCAAATGGCCTCACTCAAGTGAAGGTCGCCCTCGACCTTTATCTAAGAGTATGAAGAAATGCATGTTATGACCTGTTCGCGTTGCTGTTGGCCTTGGAAACCCGCCAAACAAGTGACAAAACCAGAGAACCGAGGCATACAACAATGTTATAAAAGAGGAGATTTCCAGACAAAAAAACTGATCAGGTGACAATACTCGATCTCATTGAGAAACGCGTGGTGCCGCCTCATTTAGACGAGCTGATCAAAGCCATCTATCAGATGGGAGAATATCGTCTGTCCGCAGACTATAACCACCTTGAGGTGGATCCATTGCAGTGGACACAAATGACTTCTCACCAACACGACGCAAAAATTGAAAAGGTCTTTGGTTATATCCTTCCTAGCAGAAGGAGGAATGAGGCCATCACTGGAAAATTGTCCATTGGCCTTGTAGAATGCCAGCTCTCAGATAAAGATATATGGAGGAGGGCGGAAATCATACTGTCGCATTATAAGATCATAGAACTTGCAAATACAAACTTCTGCGTCACTGAGTTTGACACTAGTTACACAGTAGAAACAAGGAACGAGGAGATATCGTGCGACAAGAACTGCAAATCTTTTCGTGATGGTGGTGGTTTGTGCCCTCACGTCCTTGCTGTCGCAGAGAAAATTGATAAGCTGCGAAGTTTCATCACCACTTACAAGAAAGCTTCTAACAAAATGGGAAAGATTATCAGCACAAACCTCTCTAAACAGCTTGGGGGAAAGCCGAATCAACGACCAAGACAAAGAAGAGGGAAAAATAACGTAAACCAGGTGCCAGTCGTGTCAGAAGAAGACCCCTATGACGTTATGGTGCCGAAGCCCATGAGGTACATCGAATACTACCAGAATGACGAGCCCTTTTATGTAGTGTTTACTCATGACTACTCGAATGCAATAACATGCACCGGTTGCACAAATTAGTTCCCAAAAGAATACAGATAGCGCCTTACGACATTGTTCTACTTCCCGAGGAGCGTTATCGCTACCCTGAAAAAGACGATAACGGCATTGAAATGGTCGTAACGCATAAAAAAGGCAAAGAGGTTTTATTGCAGTGATAAGAGCTGTATCCTTCCAAGGCACCCGTATTTCTGGAGAGGCTTGATAACTGTCACCAACAGCGTAAAGCAGCGTTCGAAAGACCATCACAAGGATTTGCTTCTTGCAATGTTGAAGTTTGAAATAGGCGAAAATTACAAGAAGACCTAATTAAAACAATTAATAGTATTTCAACTCTTGTTTTCACATCAGTCTATTTAGTCGTTACAGTAGAACCCAGCCAGCTCAAATTTCCTAGGGAGACAAAAAATTGTTCGAGTTAGCTGATAGTAAATGACCAAAAAATTGGGCCAAGGGAAATTGGATCTCGTTCGAGTTACCGGGTGTTCGAGTTACCGGGGTTCTACTGAATTTCAATCGCATTTAAAACTTTCTTAGGTTTTGGGTCTCCAGTAAATTGCAATTTTCAAAGCATATGTAAATCTTTTAAGTAGTCAAATATGTATTTCTGATAATAGAATGGCAATATTTTCATCATAGCGTAAAAATAATTCATTTCGTGAAATAGCCATTCTTCCAAAATTACTACTTAACGAAATATATTTTAATACTATTTAGGAAATAAGAGGTGACCAACATCGGGAATATAATTACTTTGCGAAATTAATTTTGTATGGATAATTTAAGAGGAGGTGACTGAGATCTTCGAGAATATACTATAATGTAATGTTTAAATGTATTTTTGTGACATGAAAGAGGTCACGTTGTCACCGCAAGGTGAAAATAGTCCATTTCGCAAAATAGTAACTCTCCTAAAATTACTATTTCGCGAAATATATTTCAATACGGTTTAAGAAATAAGAAGAGACCAAAATTTAGGGTGATATACTATTTTGTAATGTCTAAATGTTTTCTTGTGACATGAAAGAAGTCATGTTGTCTCCGCAGGGTGAAAATAGTCATAAAACATAAAAAAACCACCGTAGCTTTTTAATGGTAAACTAAGAGATTTCTGCTTCGTTGCTTGCTTTCCTTATGCACCAGCATGTCAGCACTTTTGTCATTTATTACTGGTTTTTTGTTAGGTAAATATAAGTGTTAACAGTCTTTCTGGAAAAATTGGTTTTTATGGTAGTTAGCAGCTGAGTTTATACTCGTAACTTTAATTTCTTTTCATACGGTAGTTTCCATACCAACCTTGCATAGATAAGCAGAAACTTTTAATTGCTTTTCCGTTCTTATTTCCTAAGCTGCTCTACTGTAATTAAGATAGGTATATTTTCTATATCAGAGCTGTGAATTCGCACCTAAGTTTCCTATTTTTAATGGCCTCGAGTTTATTGTATCCGTCCTTTTAATTTTGAAATTCTTTCCGTCGTAGAAACAGATGGAATATTTAAGTAGTTTTCATTTAACTTCAGAGAGACATTCTCCGCTCCTTTGTGTCCTTATTCAAATATTGTGATTTGTGTAACAATAGTACCTCACACCAGTTAGTTCTTAATCAAGTACCTTGTACAGCTTTGACGATTACAGATTTAGTTTTGACTCTAGCATGATGTATGTTAGAGCGCTCTACGAATAAAAGTCTGCTGTGGAACCAAAACGCTGTCTCTTCCTTGACGTCCGTACAAACTCGCTCGAAGTAGATCTTCGTGTGCCAAGAAATCGTGACGAGTTTCCGTTCTCGTGAGCCGAGTGGTCTCTACCGATTTAATTCCCCCCGTTTTGTACGTTTCCCACGAAGTCCAGTTAGAGTGCACAAAAACTTATCGTCACACCTCATAATAATTTATATTATCGGACGTACCGCGAAAAGCGTAACAGAATTACTTATTTTTTCCGGGCGCCATATATGGTGCTGGTAGTTGGTAGAATTTCTACAGTGACGTCACTTTCCTACAAGCAAAGAGGCATGGCTGCTAAGCTGATTTAATGCGCGGGCCGCGCGAAATTGAACTGCTGATTCCGTCGGCGGATTTACCGGCAGAAGTCGGAAATGGCGGAGGTTTCTGCGAGTTCTTCTGCTAGTGATAATCCCAGGGTATGTATTCATTTGGTATTTATGTTATCTTCGGCATTTCAATGTTTCAATTTTTAAGCTAAGCATACCTAATGAAAGCTTGAACTTAATCGTATTCGACTATTCCAGTCGCTGTTTTCGCTCGATATAGTCGCTCTCCTTGTCACCATCTCCGAAACTTATCGTTCGAAACTTATCATCTTCGAAATTTATCGTTCTTTTTCCCAATAACTTTCAGCTGGAATTTAGTAGGAGCCCTGATGATACTTGCGTTTCGTACGATTTTCGAAATTAATCACAATCGCCACTTTTATCTGTATCAACGCTACAGAAACTTTTTTGTTTTGCTTGTAAGATAACTGTGACGACGCTTCAAGTTTTCGTGAATCTTTTGTATAACTGATGTCTCTCGAGTGAGATTACATGTTAAGTATCAATAATATGAGGGCATACATGTAAGGACTTTACACGCATTTTATGCATATGTAAAGTGCTACAACACGATATCGGAATTGAAGCGTGTTTGCTCTCCATCAGTGCGCATGCTGTGTCACTTGGAGCACGTTAAGCAAGTATTTCTCGGCTTTATACGAATTACCCTTTATACTACTTATGTACAAATCAAAACAAACATCCAAAGGTATTTTACTACAAATATCCGTGCATAATTTTTAGCCAAATGTAGGCTATTGTTTTTACTATCCTTCATTTTACACAATGCTTGACCACCAGGAAAACTTCCTGAGGGTGGATCACATAAATGGCAATTCCGGCCCACCCCAGTTGGAGCGAAGTAATCAGAGGAAAAAACCAAAAACACGGAAACAAACATATGCAAAGGGACACAATAAACAGTTTTGCTTTCACCAGACTGGAATAACATTAATAACATGCATGTTTTTTCATTTAGTTAACATTTACCCAGAAACCTTATTGTTAAAGCCTGTGCGGAGTCCTTGGACGCAACGGAATTATACTTCTAGTTTTATGCGTTTTCAGCGCTTTCAGTTAAGTCTTGAGTCTTAAACTTTTCTCATGCTATCCTAGCATTCCTTGTGGGTTATTGTGCTAGTAAACCCCCAGGTTTTGCTCTGCAATGACCAGTAATTTGCCAGTGGTTTTTAGGGAGGAGAGGAGAAAGCAAGTGATCACTTTTACATTAATAGCTAATATGTATCATGCTTTCCTCATTTTCCACATGGAACAGTTTTCGTTTGTTTTCAAGTAAATCATTTTATATCATAGATGTTGCCTGAAGAACCAATGTCTGAAGAAGAAGAAGAACAGGAAGAAGTGGAGGTACAGCTTTATGTACTTTAATTGTAATAAGTGTGCACAGTGGTTGCATCTTAGTTTGTGAATTAAGTTTGTGAGACATTTAACCACTGAAATGTTATTGCATTTCTGTAAAGAAAAGTCTTAAAAATGATGTGAGCAAAGGTAGTATGGTTGCATTGTAACTTGTACTGCCGAAGTTAAGTTTAGATTTATAATTACCTCAAAATATGGTTTCTTGATGAGCACGATTTTCCAAATTCGCGAGACACAAACACTTCACTGGAAAATTAATTTTGGTTCTTGACGAATTTTTCGGATAACGTACTTCTGAGAACCCAGATTTTGCGATATCTCAAACCATGGCACATTTTAGGAACACATTTTGCGATAACTCGATCTGTGTCTTATCGATGAAAACCATGTTTTGCGAACAAACTTTAAACGCAAAATATGGGATTCTGGTGCAAAACACATTTTGCGATGATTCAATCTGTGGCTCATTTAACAAACGTACAAAGATTCCCTCGTTTTGATTTTATGGCGATTTCTGATTTCTTAATTTACTTTAATATTTGGGAGGTAGTCATGTTGCGAATATATCTCTACTGGATCATCACCTAGTAGTGGTGAAGTGGTTCATGTGCCTCTATGAACCCATAGAGGTATGCCGGCGGGAGTCCCAATAATATATTTATACAGGGTAACCCTACAGTACATGAGCATTGTTATTAAAGGGGTCTTTTGGGTAAGGGGGGGAGGGAGCTATAACCAGGTGTATTTTTTTGTTTCCAGGTATAAGGGCCTATAATTAGGGGGGACTTGAGAAAGGTTTCGAAGAGAAACATGTCAATACAAATGGGTGGGGGCAATACAAGACAGCGGAGCGTGCAACAGCGGTAGAGAGGACATAATGGGAAAAGAAGCACTAGAAGAGATCGATGAGAATGAAGACATTCATTGACTGCTGCGCCTTCAATGATTTGTCTATTGAAGGCTCCTTCTTCCAACACAAGGAAATACACAAAGTAACATTACCTACACCTGCCTTCACTAGCACAATCAAATGGATCACATCACAGTCTCAAAGAAGTGGAAAAAAAAACCCTTTTTGATGTTAAAGTCACAAGAGGATCGGATGTTGACTCTAATTATCACCGTGTGATTGGAATGTTTGAGATGCAGCTTGCTCAAGAGTATAGTGACGACAGCAGAAGGTATTAGTCAGAGTGGTTTTAATATAGTCAACTCTCTCTCTCTCTCTCCAGTACCCCTATCACCTATGCTTGCTAAGTCATTCCTCTAAAAGAGAGTGGTATGGTAAACCATTTATATAAACCATGACAAACTCCATGTATGTATATTGAGTAGGACTGGACTATACTACCCGTTCAAATCCTAGCACAAAAATAATGTTTAAGTCTCGAAAAAAAAAATTAAGGTAATAATTAATGACAGTTGATTTAACAATCCAGCAACATAATATTATTGATGTTTCTTTTGAATTTCCTAGATTTGTGGTTGGTGATCTACAATTATATCAAAACTGCTTCTTTTGTATTTTATTTTTCATTCCCAGGAAAAAATAAAAAAATTATTTAGGTATGAAGTTCAGAAGAGCTGA